TAGAGACGCTCGATCGCTTGTATTAGCAACTGTCACTGCCGCTGCCGGTCCCGAGATCCGCTGTGCTCGATGCGTATATTACATCACTTCCTGCATTCAGTGTCACCCTCCAGCTACAGAAGCTGATGAAGCAGATCTCTGCTTCATCAGCTTCTCTGGGGGTCCCTAGGTGACATTAGGGGTCTTGGAGACCCCTGATGTCTCCATAAAAAGGACCTGTCATGTAAATTGGCTATCACATAGGGGGCTTCTTAGCCCCCAATGTAATAGCAAAAAAGTTGTGTGTAAAAAAAAAAAAAAAGTAATACAAAAATTAAAGGAGAACTATGGGGTTAGGGCTTTTCCCCATAGTTCTCCTAAGGGTAACAGGAGGACACAAACTAGCGTCCTCCCATCACCCAAAGCTCAGTATCTTGCGGTATACTGAGACGCTGCAGCTGAAACGGATCCCGACAATTATGTCTGGATCCGCTCAGCTGCGTGAGTGACTGCTGGCTCTGCATCCCCCGTCCGTTCCGCCAGTCAGCACTGGAGGATCGGAGCGGGGAGGGGGGAATCCAGTCCCTCCCCTGTCACGGCTCTCTGCCATTACAGGATCGAGAAGTGAGCGAGTGCCGGTATGTGTTTGCTCACTTCCCGATCTACTGAGCCGACCTGTGACAGTCTCATTGTCACAGGTCGGCAAGAACTATGAGGATGAGTGAAAATCACTCATCTCATAGTTCTCCATTAAAAAATCATAAAAAAAATAAAGAAGCATAAAAAAACACATTTTTTTAAGTCCCCGCCCCCCACATACACACGCAGATGTGCGTCGGGTGCGCCTACGTGCGAAAACGACAATTGCGCCTATTGTGCCGCACATGTTACATATCGCCGCAAACATCGGAGTGAGAGCAATAATTTTAGAGCCATTAATTACTGATAACACTAAACTGATGAGCAATAAAAGCGCTTTAATCGTCGCCTATGGGCGTTTTTTTACGATTTTGCGGATGCACGCCATTTTAAGGCTTGACATGTTTGGTGTCTATTTACCCGACCTGACCCCGTCTTTTATGTTTTACCAAGAATATGGGTAAGAATAAATGTTTTATAACATAACGTAGGGAAACTTTCTTTTTTTAAAACATTTATGGTACTTTTTTCATTATACCCGTGGTGATTATATACCTCCAAAAGAGAGCTTTATCTGTCCCCAAAAAATGTTAACATAAATTGCAAGGCTATAGTCCAGTCATGCCCCCC